GGGTGTGTGTGTGTGGCGTGTAGAGCCTGGGGTTATATGCGTCCGCAGTGCGGCCTGTGCCCCTCACCACGCCTGGGCTCTGCGGTGGGGCCTGGGGCACAGGCCTGCTCCCCTCTGCCCGTGGAAGCGTGGAGGGTTCCTGAAGAAACTGCTGGCACTGCAGGGCCTTGTGACTTGGTGTCATCGCTGTGCCCAGGCATAGACCCTTACATGTAGGCCTGGGCATTTAGCTTTACCAAACTACCTGGGGAGATGCCTCTCTCAGTTGCTGAGCCTGTGGGTGAGATTCTGCAATCACTAGTCCAAATGCTGGTAATGGGAGAGAGAGGGGGCAACAGCTGCTGCTCTATCTTGGTAATGAACCTTTGGAGACATCTAAGTAATTATGCTTCTTGAGTGAGAGAAGTTCTGCACCACACAATTGTAAAATGTCATTTTGTAATAGCTTTACAGACACATCTACTTTTGAAATGAATTTAGTAACAAAATTTAAAATCTCTTTAAGCTGCCAGAATGTCAAGTAGCTGTCATGCATTCCAGAAATCGGCAGGATACCAATGATGTTAAATAAATAAATCCTCTCTCAAACCCAAACAATAAAACATTGGCAAGCAACTGGTGTATAAAGAAAAATGAAAATTACTTTGCTGATTTTTTTTTTTATTATTGTTACTAACACAGATGAGAGAAACACAGCGCGTACACTGAATTTTTGCAAAATTCTTTGGTATGCTTTTTATATGTTGGCATATAAGGAATATCCATTTGGATTTTTAAGAGTGATTACCTCATAAGAGGTTTGTATTAAATACAAATCCTATTTTGTTTATACTTTTGTTGCCCAGCAATATCAAGATATTAAAATTAGGTTTAAAAATGTACTTACTATAATTGCTATCTACAACATACTTATATATTTTCAAATATATTTTCAGAAAATTTCTTGGATGCATAAACCATAAAAACATCCAGGCCACTAATAGAAACTGTGAAGTGACTGCTGATGTGAGACATGATGGGTCTGAACCACTTGTAGATGTTATGTTTGGTAAGAAGTTAATTTTTAATCTTGACAAAAAAAGAAAGACCTTCCGTGTTTGTGTTGTTACGATATTATTCTCTTTATGATTTTTTTTTACTCTGGTTACTTTTTTGGTTCTGGTCCATAGCTAGATGTTGTGCAGCTGGGAGGAAAAAAGGAAGAGGGAGTCACTAACAGCCTCATGTCTATATAAATGTGTATATATGTCTTTGTACTACAGTTAGATCTGGTAGATCTTAGATCAGAGAACTGACTTAACTTTAGGGTTGGGTCTACTTTTGTAGTGACATACTTGTGTGACCTTGCAGTCAATTGTGACCTTGCACAATTCCAGGGAAGTAGGTGTAGCTCTGTTTTGATATAAGAATCTGTTCACTTTCTGTAATTTTTTTATGTTATCTGTGGTGAAGGTATCTCAGTCTTGAGAAGAGTTCAATACCTTTAGTTGTTATGCAATTGAGTAACTTACTATGTAGTTTGAAGGAACTGCTCATATGGATAAGACCATACATGTGCAGATGGGCTTGCAGAATGAGGTCAACTGATGTACAACAAATTTCTTGGTTTCCTTTGAGGGTATAGTGAGCAGGCAGGGAACTGATAGTAGAAATTTCATCAGTTCTGGAAGCAGACCAGATTCTAGGCTGTGAACAGATGGCTCTATTCTGCTTTTGTCCTTTTCCCTGGCTGCAGCTTCTTTCCTGCTGTGCTGTAATGGGCCAATATGTCATGTAGCCCATGAAAGTTTTCATTATTATTGATTCTTGCTACCCCCTTTTCTTTAAACTTCTGTATATTTAGTGAATCGGTACAAATGTCAAGTGTTGAATGTACTTCATTTTGCTTAGGAAAGTCTAGTTATTTCAGTGTTGACATTGCTTGTTTCTCCCTTCTCCATGCCTCTGTCTTTCCAATCTTTATCTCTAACTGTGATGTATTAAGACTTAAGCGTTGAAGCTTAATGTTTTTTCACAGCATAAAGTCGAAACAATTTATTTCACTGATGCCAAGAGCTACAACTCTGAACTCTTCGTTTTCTAAGAGCTGATTATTTTCCAAGTGAAGAGCCTGCAGCCCTTGTAGTTGGCAAACAGGGGGCTGGAACTTGGATGCCATGCATGGTGTTGCACTGTATGGGTTTGAATATGGCTTTTGTATTTGCAACTTGCAAAAATAAATAATTAACTTAGGTACAATATTTCTACTGCCTCCTCCCTGTTCTAAACTAATTTCTTTCAGAATTTTACAAATCCTAGTGCTGTCTATTTTTGTACATTGTAACCATCAGATTGTGTAAACCAATTTGTTGTTTTGGCTAAAGTAGTAAGTTAAATGGACCGTAGACAACACACTGCTAAAATGCTGAGCCATGTGTGGAAATGATGCCTTCCAATGCCTTCTGTGCCTTCTGTTCAATGAGTGAGGGCATAGTATGAGCCATTCTCATCAAATATGTGTTCTTGCTATAGGTATATCTAGACAATCGTTTCATATTTTTCAATAATGCAATACAGAAATGAAAATTACATGTATATCATGTGAAGTTTAGTGTATTTGTTTGTTAGTGGTGCATAATCAGATTCCTTGGTAAGTGGAGTACTTTCTAATCAGACAACACGAACAGGTTATTTGGCTGTACAAAACAGAACTGCACACCAGAGTAATTGTGACTTAGATTTTGCGACTTCTTAATTTTTTTTTCCCCTTTACAGCTGATGGAGAGCGATTGATAATGAAGGGAGCCAACTTGACGACAGTAGAAATGTTAACGGCATTGGGGTCCAGATGTAATGCAAAAGAGCTTAAGGAAGAACAGAAAAGCAAGAAGAAGAGTCCCTGAAGAATAGAACAACTGCGTTTGCATTTACATGTGTTAAAAACAGCAGGCTGCACAGCCTGTGCAACAAAATCTGAGAGAGAGAGAGAGATGGCCAAAACACTGACCAGTTTAACATGCAGCAGAACGAACCATTTAAGTGTTTCCCATCTTCACCTGAAGGAAAACATAGTGGATCAAAAAATCTTCTAGCACTAGTGGGTCAGAGTGGCTTAAGATGCATGAATGCATCCTTCTAAGTAGCTGCCTCCCAGTCGTCTGCATGTCGGACTAATATCACATGTATTTGCATATAAATGTGAATAATGCACATTAGGTATTAATATTACAGCAAAGAAGAATCTCTTTGGACATTATTTCCTACAAAATTTCAATACAGTGGAATGCAAAATGTTATTAGAGTGGTTATTATTTTTGAAAATTATTAAATACAAAAATATGAAGAAAACTTTGAAAGTATTCCTCATTGACTTAGCTGAGGGACAGCAAGCTGCAAATAGTGGATTTTCTAATACTATGTTTATAATACATCTGTTGCTAAGTCCCTGCCATTTTCTTCTCTTTTTCAAGAAAGTGTGAATTTTGCTAAATGTAAATTTAGCTCAGCAATTAAAGTAACAAGGTAATTGGACTGTGAACACACAGTACAGCTATTCATCCTGCACAAAAGTAGCTAAGTTTAGCTCAAAGGGAGAGGTACGTTTTTTGGTAATTGGAGAAAAGGGCTATCTTTGAAGTTCAGTTTTGTAATATTTTTGTCACTCACTTTTGAGAGATTTCATTAAATATTTTATAAAGATCAAAGGGAGAGCTTTATTTGGTGTTTGTAGCCCTGTGTCCAGCCCTGTTATTTATTAAAGTACGTGCTTAGGTGTCTTGTCTGTATTGCAAAGCTCTGTGGGTTTGGGAGGCTTGATCTCTCCTCAGGCTGTGCAGGTGAAGGTGTCAACTGCACATGTGTTTCGTGTGCATCAGTTTTGTTCTAGTTCAATGAAAATGTAATTAAAATTCCAGTTTTCAGAATTGCAGGTGCAGTGTTACTTAGAGGCATTAGTTCTACCTGTTGTTAATCAGATGCCCGACTTTTATAAAATTGTAGTATATATATTTCCAAAGTTAATATGGCAGCAGATTTAGGGCACAAATCTGAAACTAGTTTTACCTTACTTTTGCCAAGATTTGTAAATGGACACTGTCCTTTCTGAAAGCAACTTTGTTTTAAATAGCACTGTTAAGGTAATTCTTTGCAACTTCTTCACCAGGATGCTGAAGTTAGGGTGGTATCTTTTGTTGGGGAAGCAGAGCTGTGCTAAAGACATTTGATGATATTTTATGGTGGCCTCCTCCATGTGTTTGCAACAAATAGAAGAGTGAGATGAGATGATTGGGGCAGATTGGTCAATGAAATTTATATGTGGGAACAATAGATGTGAATGACTTAGTCTGGGATGAATACCTTCTCTGCAGTCTGTTATCCTTTTTTTTATTAGGCCACCAATTCTTCTGAGTGGTTTCAGAGTACTGAGCTCAGTTTTGGGTTTTGGAGGTGTTTTGTTTTGTTTTTTTTCCCCAGTTTAGAACATTGTGCAGCATGGCTTTACCTGAAGAAGCCTTAAAGGGAAAGTAAGAATTATTCAAGTGGAAAAACACTGCAGAATTATTCATGCCCCAGTTAATCATGTATTCACATGCTCAAAAGCTCTCTTACTGTAATATGTCAGTGATTTTTGTGATTTTTTTTGTTAGTTTTTTCTTTGACAGTTTGTAAAATGATGTCAGCGTATAAAACGTGTTTAAATGTGAAACACTCAATCCATCTTAAATAATTAGCCATCTCTAAGTACTTAAAGAGTAAAACAGAGGTTAAGTAATATTAAATTTCTATAGTGTTGGTCCAACATTGGGGTTTATATTTATGGAGAAAAATGAAGATCCTAGTTCAGGGTTTTTATAGCCAAAATAAATCCTCTCCACTGTTGAAGAAAGGTGATTTTTTTTTTTCCTTTATTTACATGGATAGGCATCCTGTTCTGTAAAGACATGCTCTTACTAGGTACTTTCATTTTAACCCAGAGATGCCCAACCTTTTTGCTTAGGTCAGGCCAAAGGCCTGTAACGTAGCCCTTGAGAGATGAGTGACCACTCAGTGGATGAAGTGAGAGCTGATGCTGCTTTTGCTGTATGTGCTAGTAGCTGCAATTTGCAGTGGTAAAACTCTGCTAGGTTTTGTGCATGAAAAAGAAGTAATGACTAGGATTTGAATACGTAACGTATAAAAGAAAACATATTGGACAGAAAAATAAAGCTAAAAACATGCTGCTCAAGACTGCAAAGATATTGAAGGGATATAAACAAGCAATATGGGCAAGGAGGTACTCTGGTGATTGTTATGCTAATATCTAGAAAATTGCTCTCCCTGTACCATGTAGATAAAGGTACGAATTTATTTTTCAAGTATGTTAAAGATAATCTGTCATGAATTTCTTCTCTAAGCATTTAGACAACTTAGCTCTTCACACAGTATCAATTTCTGCTGCTATCTGATTGACTGAAACAAAGCCGAGCGGCCTGCTGCTCTGACATCTTCCTGACACGCACAGTCTGGGGCTGTGGATGGAGAGAGTATTAAGGTCAGTCATGCAGAACAAAGCAGGGCTGGGTGAGCATTGACTTTGCATGTTGTTATTCTCTAGCCCACTAATCTTGATTACTATACTCTACCAAAAATGTGGGTGCTTGCCTAGATATAAAAAGAACTGGAACAGACCCTAAAACCACTAGGATTAACCGAATGCAACCACCACGTCCATGTAGGGTATCTGCCAGCAGGTGATGACATGGCAAATGTCTAGATGTCTAATACCTGGAGATTTAAAACAATTATTAGGATCATCTTAGACCTGTTTATTGTACAAATACCTATTTATTTAGAAGTTCTTGTCAATGTGTAGGTAAAATAGTCCTGAAACAGATGAACGTGCCCTTCAGATAACACCAGCTGATCAGAGTACTCCCTGTTTTAATATCTGCAGCATTGTTTTTTAGAAAAAGATAATGATACCTTTGTTAAAGATTTCAGCCGGGAGCAGCAGTGTTAGTAAACATTTCCACAGCCTGTTTTAACTACTAGCTGGCCCGAAGAAGTACAAAATTGCAACGTCCTGATGCCTTTCTTGCAAGGTAGAAACAAGTAGAAACATGCTATCAGAGGTAGTTCATGCATGCCAGTGCAAATTCTATTCCTTGTTATTTGTGGGGATCTCAATCTGGGCAATTTCGTGCTGCATGTTGTAGGAAAAACTGGGTCCAATACAGTATTGCTGTGCAAACCCCCCTTGAGGAGTGGAAGATGCTTTAAATCTCAATTGTTTTGAAAATGTCGCAATCTAATACATTTTTGCTGTTTGTGAACGTGCAAAAGGTGTCATCTACTAATTTCAGAAAATTGCCCACAAGTATTTGCCCTGTTGGATGTGGGAGAATGCATTAATTTTGGTTGGCTTTTCCTAGTTCTTCATCTCTACTATATATGAATTTTGAATGACCAAGAAGTTTATATGGTGTAAGGAAGAAGGAAAAAAAAAAACCCCAAACAAATTAAATATCGTTGGACTGTATTTAACAGTTCTCAAGACTTTTGCTCCCAAATATATCTTCTGCATGCATGCTCTCCCTGTGCAGGTGTGCACAGTTTCAGAGTTGCTGGCTTACTGCCCACCTCATCAACTGCCCGTGCGACCAGTTTCCCTGGATGCTGGGCCCTTCTCCACTGGATGGTTTGGAGTCACCTTCAGACTGACAGGTCACCTGTCAGCGGTGCCTCTCCGAACTGCACTTCCTTAATAGCCTTTTTCCTTCCTGGTACTATTTGATCTCATCCAGTCTCACATTTTCCCCCTGGAAGGTCTGAGTCACTCTTCTGAGCCTTTTTTGTTGTCTGCCAAGAGCTTGCAGTAGCTTCAGTCATCGGAGAAGCTTGGCTTCTGGTAGACCACTACTTCTTGTCCCTGCTCAACCTTGCTCTGTATGCTGAGAAATGTTGGGACAGGACAGCACGAAAGGTTAGAGGTTCCGCTTTGCTTCTGATCGTCTTTAACTTAACAAGTCATCTTTGCATAGAGCTGTTTTTCTCAAGATGTTACAAAACTAAGGCTGTGCCCAATGATAGATGTTAGAGCTGTGAAGGCAAAGGAGCTCCTGATCTGTTTTGATCATGTCTCATTGTTTTAAATTTCAAAGTGGTACTTGAAAGCAAAGATAAGGCGAGTGTAGAGACTCTGACTTAAAGCGGTCAGTCTCCTATGGCAGTTGCTGCCAACAGAAGTTAATGGCACATCAAAGGACATCTCTGCACAGTGCTTCACTGGGTGAGGTGAGTTTGACTTGCTTACCTATGAAAAGAACATTTCTTTTAAGACTAAATGGCTAGAAAAGACCAGCAGACCTGTTTGTGAAAGGAATGCTCAGTCAATAGGAGCAAAGCCTGGGAAGGATGGAGTCCTTCATGAACAGGTTGTCACAACTCAGGCTGACAGTCGCTGCAGGAAGTTCAGAGGACAGGCAGGAGGCAAAGCAGCAGATTCCTTCCTTATCCAGCCACTAATTCTTCTCTGCTTCTTTTGACCCCTCCACTCTTTCAGCGAGGAGTTAAAGACCAGCCTTACTGTAAAAACTGCGTGGCCAGCAGGCACAGCCAGAAAATTTGCCATCTCAAACACAGTTCTTGCGCAGATTCACTGTCTTCTCGTTACTGGTGAATCTGAGTGGTTCAAGTTGCTTGCACAAATAAAAGAAACGGTAATTATTTTAATGGAGTTTTTAAAGTCTCTTTTTCTATGCAGGGCTTTGCAGAACTTGTCTTCACAATCCACTGCTCAACTGACTTTCAAAGTATTTGAAATGGCAAATTTAAAAATCAGATGATTAATTCTTCCTTTCTTTCACATAGCTGTATCAGTATCAAGTTAAGCCACACATACAAGAAAAAGTGCCAGAAGCAGTAC